TGATGTGAAAATAAAATGATGGCAATTCAAATTATTTTGCTTTCAATTTTTCATGTGAATGATTTTTCTTCTTACTTTATGCTGCATACATCTAACAATCGACATTTGTAGTGCCTATATCAATTGATGGATTTCTTCTTATTTATTATCAACATGCTATGGATGTATGAATCTACAATTTATGTACGCATGAATTGAATGTGAAGACTATCTCTGAGGATTGTTACCATATCCGTAATCTTTTTTATTTGTGGATGTAAACATAAAGATGAATGGGAAAAAAATTATTTCTTCTTCTATAGCTGTATTGAAATGAAATGGGCGGCATAAGACTCGTAAGACTCGACAATGATTTTCATAGCATTGAGAAATATTTTTTTTTTTATTTTCTGGTCTATTTCCCTTATTTATGACACTACTTCTGTGCTCCAAACTCTTGTTTGTTTATGTTTGCAACAAAATATTTATCAATTGAGGCAGCTCTTCTCTCATTGTACTTATTTTCCATCTCATCTCTCATTTTAATTTTCGACATTCACTTCAATTGAATTGAAATTTAATTTTGTTCGCTTCTCTTGCTTGCCTCCTTCGTTCAACATCTCAGACGTCCAATTTCCTAATAGAAATAAATCAAATGTGGGATGTTTTTATTTGTTAAACTTCAATATGTATCCACAATGTTATTAAGATATCTTTTTGATCCCTATCCATTGAGATTACTGTTATTTCTTATGGGATATATCCGGAAGTGCTGTTGAAATGTTTTTGATAATGGAAAATTCATGCGATTTATTCATTACTGGGAATATTAATCACTCTTGCAGACATAAAGAATGCTCAGCAATACTGCAATATGCTTATGTGTCCACTATGGCACTGTCTAGCATGCTTTGTGTCTGCTAATCACTTGATAGAAGTCTCAGTAGTCTGAAACTTTAAGGCTTGCAGTTTATACATCATACCATTCGTTTGAAAGCCACATACTCGCCATAAGTCAATTAGAATATATTAAGATGTCGCATGATGTTAACAGGAGGTTTTTCGAATCTTAAGCTATCCCTTGGCTTTCCCCAATTCCCTATTATCCATTAAATTTATTTAAAAACAGTTATAGATCATTAAGGTCTTATATCAGATAAAGTGTTAGAGTTACGACCGAACAATTTCCTCCTAAATTCTTCATACTCAAACTGAACAAGACCATTAACTTAATTACCAGACAATACCAATAAAAGTTCCCCAAAAAAAGAAAGTTTTATCCCCAATAATCCTATTTAATCTTAATTCCTATCCTTCCGTAAATGCAATATTTTATTTACAATAGCTCGATTCGTAATATATCAAGCATATCCACTTCTGAATTCAGAGTGGTAGTAAATTAGATCAAGATCCATTAAAAATTATATGTTCTGGATAGAAAACTTTTGGCATGATAAAGCAAAAAGTAAAAGAATAGGAAATTTGTGAACGTGAATGTAATAGAAAATTAGTGGACTTTGCCCTAATATTATATCCTCTAATGCCTCATGTCTCATTTGTTATGTTTAGGAACACAAAAAATAGTAAATGAAATCATGTAAATATTTATGTATTGAGGAGGAATCAGGGGGCTAGGTAAGCTGTTGCTGGAGAATGTTTTTAAGTCACTTCGGATGTTTCAAACCAGAATCCTTGTCTTAAACTTTGAAAATCCATGAAGCTTCCTCAAAAGTCCCCACATTTCCACAAGAATCATCCTCGCACGTACAATCCAATAATTTCCCATGAAAAAGACTCAAAACGAGTAAGTTGTCTACAATCATTTCAACGGCAGAAGCACATAGCATATGCAAGAGAGCGAGCAGCAATAATAGTTAGTTTCCAAGTGTTTTATTGTTCTGTTGAACATGATGAACATGATTTGATGTTTACTTACTACATTACTATTGCCATATATTTCACATTCATGCATTCACTTTAACATGAAAATAATTCATTGTGTACAAGTTTTTCTTCGTTTCTATGCGGAGGGGAGGGAGGAATGAAGAAAAGAATGGCACAAGGAAATGAGGGTTTTTTGTTCGTTGGCTGAATAATATGAAGAAAAAAAAAACTTTATTGTTTAAGCAGAAAAAAATAAAAGAAGCAGCAGCAAAAAATAATCATTCAAGCAATTTAGGGTGAGAATGTTGTAATGCTTAGAAAATTTTACTAAATACATGGTAGGAGTAGCTATAGGTGGAGAAGTAGTGCTGGTTGAAAACAAATGAGGTTGGAGCTAAGTGATGTAGTGACTGAGACAAGAAGAATATACAAGATGTATTATGTTGCCGTTCTAAGAATGTCTCTAATGTGATTATGCTCATGAATCACACTAATTGATTTCGATTAATTGTACAGCAATTAATTTCTACTAAGATTGATTTTTCTAGCCTCTTTGGCTGTGTTTTCTTATTTAGTAGAGCGGGGTGGTTTTGAAGTTATTGCTGAATGTCTTGCTCTACTTTAAGATGACTATTTTAGAACAATATTTTAATTTTTTCTGTCACAAGATCCAGAACATGCTGATAGACCGAAAGATCACTGAATCAGTCACTATTGTAGCTACTTTAAGGCTTCAAATTGCAATTATCCACCATTAGCCTCAAAATATTCATAAGAATCTGCTTGAAGCTTATAAATTGATTCTTATGCTCCAAATGCTGAACTCTTCTTTAGATTTTTTGCTAACAGCCACAGATTTTTTATTATCAATATTTACCAACCCTGACTGTCTATTATATCTTTGTATGCGTTGATATGCTTCAGGAAAAGACAAGAGAAAAGAAAGTTGATGAGTTTCGCTCATTTCTTCTTCCTCATTTAGCCGCGTGAAAAGGATAGGAAAATAAGAATAAAGAAATAAAAGAAATGGTTGACGCAATAGATGTCAGAGGCAGATTTGCAAGCTAGCTAAAGACTTTTTCCTTTCTTTTCTTTTTTAAATATCTTTAATACGCTCATTTCTTCTTAAATACTTGCTCTGCATTCTTTTTTTGTTCTTATCTATTTTCATTTCCTGCGAAAACGATATTTTTGTTCCGCGCGAGCTGAATACATTTTTCATGCTCTTTATTTTCCTTAAACGTTGCAAATTTGAAGATGAGGAAATGAAATGCTCAGGATTTTAGAGATGCTCTTGTTGAAATTCTTATGAATATAATTTTGGGTTTTAATTAAAATTTAAATCTTTTAAAGTTTTGTGAAAATAGAACTTTAGAGGTCCCTCATGAATGATGATCTATAGGAGTTTTGCTAGAACTTGGCTTTGGCACGTAAGCTTTAACTTGATTATTAGTCAGAAAAGTTTAAAATTTTTCAAAAATTGTCTAAAGTAAGATTCGAACCCTGGCTTTCAGATTTCTAGTCGCACACTTCTACCACTGAGCTATTGAAGGTCTCTAAGAAGCTTAACAGTATTCAAACTTATACTTTTATTTTGAACAGTGCACCTTATCCCGGGAACTTCCAACAAAAAACTCATCTTTAGGTGTAATCTGTAAAAGTGATCCCATTTCTACTTTCAAAGCTACATAATCAGATAATTTATTTTCATAATGCTGTTAATTTAAGAACTTAATACAGAATCTGACAAGCTTTTTATGTCATTTAGCAAAAAAGTTAATTTGTCCTAGGATTAAAGTTTTTTGTGTATGAATCATCCTTAAATATAGCTTTCGGGATGTTTGTTCTGAGTCATAATATCTGCAGTAGATATAAAAAGCGTGTAAAAAATAAATTTCAACTTAAAAAAAAGTTTTATAATTTCATATCCACATCATTTTTGCATTGTGCATCTGTCAATTCCAATGCTCACCAGCTCAGAATTGATGGCTATTTGTGCTTGCGTCAGGATTAAAAATTTAGAACTTTATTATGTATTCAATTGAGAGAATTATTTTCAATTCAATGAATATTCGTTGCTTCTTCCTCATCAAAGTCTGTTGCAGGAATTGACAGATGAATTGTTTGAGGTTGTCAGTTATAAACAAATAAACAATGTTTCATGCTGAGTACACTTGCTCATTGAATTTTGTTTTTCACATTCAGTCGATGAAGTTGGCATGCTTAGAAGTTACATGTCAATTTTACGTAACAGTAGAAATTTGAGCATTTCGACGCTTCCTTTTTTCAAAATATTTAAAGTTGAAATTGTTATCTTCAAACAATGTAGAAAGGAGCTTAGTCAGCATCATTGAATAACTGGAAAAAGAACATTTCCATTAGTGACAAACTTTTCGGGAAAAATTCTTTCAAAAACTCTCAATATGCATGACATCATGAAAGCTCTGAATAATAATCAAGATCACTACAAAAATCCTCTCGCAATTTATTTTTAAATTTTTTATACTTTTTTGTCTCCTGCTGCTCAGGGGTGTAGGGGTGTAGTCATGATGTCTTTAAGAATTCAATCAAATTTATTGGGAGCTTTTATTAACTTTATATATCACTTAATATTCGAATTAGGGTCCAATACCTCGAATGGGGTCAGTTTAGTCTTGAGAAAGAGACGTGGAAGCCTGCAATTCAGAATAAAAGCCAGACATACCTATAGCTTCTGTTCTAGTCTCCTTAAAATTGTCTACCTACACCCCTGCCTCCAATGGAGTGTTTTGTCAGAAATTCTCTGTGTATTTTATTTGTTCTGTCGTTTATGTTTTTATTTCTGCTGCATTTTTATTTTTTGTTCTGTGTAGGATAAAAAAAAAGCTTTTTAGCAATTTGTGCATTTTTCATAGAGCAAAATGTTCTTTTTTTCCTTTTTTGTTATTTCATATTGCATCGTTTCTGTTGTTTTTGTATCTTTTTTTACCATTTTCATTTCCTTTTTCTGTTTGCGTTGTGTGGATGTATAAAGTAGTTAAAAACCTAAGAGAGAGGGAGAGAAATGCTTTTAGTCATTTTATACCGTCCAACAAAAGCATTTCTGCACACTCAAAAAATGAATATAAAAAATAATATTTAATATTTTATTGTTGCAGTTCTCGTTTGGCCGAAAGGAGGTGGAGATGAAGGAAACTAGATGAAGAGCATAACAAAAAGTATTCACTGAGTGAGAAAGCTCTTTACCCTTTATGAGCTGCTTATACTTTAATAAACAACTACAAAACAATACACTGAGCATGTTAGATTCACATTTATTTATATAAAAACAATCCTTTCTGAAAACTTTCAACAAAGTCTTTATTATTATTGTTTCCATTTTCTAAATCAGGCACCAAATTTTCTGTTTTTTGAACTTTGAAGGGTAAGATAGTCGATCATATAGACAAAATTGAGGCTTTCCATGCAATGTTAAAGAGATCAGTTTGTATTGGGAATTGAACTCACGTTCTCACAAATATCTAAAATTCCAGATGTTCTGTCTGTTGCTACTTGCCCACTGTGGCCTTATTCTTGCACTGGCAGAATCGCTTACTTATGGACCAAAAAGATTCTTTTCCTGAATTTTTGTTCGAATTTTAAAACAATTCTTTCAAAAACATTTCAATCAAACCTTAAGAATTTCGAACCAAAGAGTTCTTCATCACCTCCTTGACTCTTCATTTCCTTTAAAACTCAAAAGAAAAGAAAAAGACAAAAGTTCTTCTTACTTATATTAAATATGTCACGTAAGTGCAATCATTTTTTTTGTTCTGTTCTTCATACTCTTTATTTCATGAAAAATGATTTTCAATTTGCTGTGTCTTCTTTCCTTCCTTTACTTTATTGTTGTTGAAAATTTCCTTTCAAGATTCTTCATGAAATATTCATTGAAAAAATTGAAGCTTTTGAGTTTCTTTAGAAAATATCAAAAATATATATACTTCTTGCCCTCAAGTCTTGCTTCTTACTGTCATCAACATACGCGCCCCTTGAAAGTTTTCCAACAGACGAGAAGAAATATTAAATTGAGGAATAAAATTTTTGGGGACTTGAAAACTTTTCTGTTATTTTTTTTTGTGTCTCAGCATAATTTATAAGCCTTAGCAATTTTCATCTATCCGTCTATCTTTTTATTCAATTATATTCAAGTTTTCCATTAAATTTTGTTTACTTAAGTTGATTGAAATATTTACTCGAGCTGATATGATAGTTTCTTCTTTATAATTTTGCGCATTGTGAAATACATTTTAAATTTTTAAAGCAAACCTCATTATGAGAAAATATTTCAGTTCTATTTGATTTTAAAATTTTTGCAGATCTAGAATTTTTTAGAATAAAATGTTCTGAATTTTGTTTTTTTTTTTTGGTTAAATTAAATTTGCTTGATTTTCAGTCAGAAATTCTTGGATGATGGCATTTTCAACTATTTCTCTATTAAGGGCTATTCATAAATGACGTCGAACCAAGCTTGCGATACACGCACCTCTGCACAGGTGAGAACCGTTCAATTCCTTGATAATTTATAAGGTTTTTCTAAGAAAACCATACAAATTCTATTAAAACCTCACAAATTATTAATCAAGGAATTGTACGGTTCTCACTTGTTCACAGGTTGCTGTATTACAACTCTGCGTCAAACATTTAGGATAGAAAGGTCTGGAGTTTTGTGACGGTTCCTTCGAAAAAAAATATTCTTCCTAGTTCACATATGACGTCCGGAATTAATGGTCATTTTTCAAAATTCTTCAAATTTTTTTTCTTTCTGACCTCCCCCCCCCCTCTGAACGTCATAGTTGAACGTCACTTACAAATGTTGTGACAAACGGCTTAAAATCTAGTTTTAAACGTAAATTATGAGTAGCCTCTAACTCTTCTCCAAGCTTCATACCAGTTCAGTATCTACAATTGTAATCACCAAAGAGAACTGATGTACAAAATATCTCACGAAATACAATCAAAAATCAAAAATATGTTTCATATTCGACATTTACTTCATTACAATTCCAATTCCACTCATGTTAAATGAATTGCTTACGTGATTTTTATTTGACATTTAAATAGACATGAACGACATAAATTGAAACGAGAGAAAAATAATATGAAATAAATTTTATACAATCGAAATTATCGATAAAGAGATGAAGAAGGGGAAAATGGCAGGATGTGTAATAAATTGAAAAAAAAAAAATAATTTACCAAAAATGTTTTACAATTTCAATGAACGATTTTTAGGATATTGCCTAAAGATGAATTTACTATTGTCTGTGATTTTGATTGATTTTCTGCTCGATTACAGTTAAATTGCTATATCTTGGAGATGTGACGTTGTAATGGGATAGATTCAGTTGCAGTTGTTCACAAATGATGTTCAACCTAGCTTAATACAATTGTCAGGATGCAGCCCTGAATTTACCAATTATTTTAAACATAATCCATATTAAACTAGTTATTATATAATCAAATTTATATCAAAACCACAATTTCATATTAATAATAATAATGAAAAAATGAAAATCAATAATTTGAAAAAAGCTTTTTTATCTTCCATTTCAGCTTTTTCTGCGGCTACAATATCTATGCAAAACTCTTTTTTTTTTCTAGCACAAAATTTATGATAATTTATTTATTTTTTTCTGTATAAATTTTTCAAATAATTAATTTTGGCGTGAAAGGGATAATTTATGAACATTTATTTCTACGATTATTCAGTTTGCTCAACACGATATTTGGTGTTGTACCTATCAGTGCCCTCTCGGATTATGCACACAAGAGAATTTATTTATTTAATTTTAATCAATTTATTTATTTAGAAAATTGACTGTATGTACAGTTATGTGGATGTATGGACTATTAGCAAATATGCATTAGAGGTTAATATGTTCATGTGTTTGTAATTAAACGAAATGCACTCGAGGCTTCGCGGTTTTTAAAATGTTTGTATTTTAATTAATAGGATCTATTTTAGTAAATAAATCATTGATATGATTCAATAGGACAACGAAATAACTAGGTTCTGTATTATTCTAAAGTAGTGACGATCAACCCGTGTGACTTGGCTTACAATTGAAAAAATTAAGGATATCCCATGAACCGAAAGGAGTCGTTGACTTATGACGTCCCAAATTAACGGTCATTTTTTAAAAAAGAAAAATAGATTTTCAGACATTTTTATTGTTCTTTTATTGCTGACCCCCCCCCCCCCCCCCTCCTACCGGACGTCATAAGTGAACTATGCTGTGCACGGTTATGGGTAATGGCTTACTTGAACTGTGCCGTGACACAAAAAAGGTTAGAAACCACTATTTTAAAGCATAAGATAGGATAAGTGAGTAAGCATTGCAAGGTGGTGAGGCGAGTGGGGTTTCTAAATATCAAAAACATTTAGACAGGCTCACTTATAGTTTCAGTATTTAAACAAAGACAGAGGAAGTATAAACCTTTTTGTCAATTATTGGAAAAAGTAATTGCTAAGATCATTCACAATTTGAAGGAAAATTTCAAGAATCTTGAACTTTTGATTAATTCACTCTTGACTTACATACTTCAAACCTACTCCAAATATTGAATTAAATTTCACAAATAAGCATTGTTGTTGAACTTATTAAATCTACTCAAAATGATTTTCCCGCTCAAATGTCGAGTACTTTTAAAAATATCATTAATGAAAATTCATTTCCAGCTTACAAGATTCCGTTAACATCATCAATTACGAAAGCTGTTTTTTCAATGAAAAGAGGATGAAAATTTGTTTTTTACTTCTCATAACAATCAGAATAAATTATCGTCATTTTATTCCAATTGAAAATCATCATGGAAGCTCTCATTAAATTGTATTCTATTTATCTTCATACTCAGTAGAATTGTAGATATACAAATAGACTCGATGGGGGTGCTCTCTCTATAATTCCACATTATTTGCAAATTAAATTTCGTGTGATTTTTGTCAATTATACAAAAATAAATTTTGCTTGTGCCTGAACAAATCCCAGAAAACTTTCCTAACAACAACAATGCTGAAGCAAAATTAATGTAATTGAATTATAATAAATTGAATTTAAATATTGAATCAAAATAAATTTTTTCATAAATAATATTAATCACTTCACATATCACACAATTAGCATAAATATGTTGCTGTTGCGCTCTTTATCGTCTCAAATGTAGCCATATATTATCGTTCAGATAATTCAAAAACTGGCAAGCTTATCATAATAATAATAATGTATAAATGTGTGTGTGTGTGTGTGGATATACAGAGCAGCATGATTATGCAAATGATTATAACGAGAGATTAAAAGCATCGAAAATAACATTATTCATGAACTTCCCTTCCTCTTCATTCTTCGAACTATTTTTTATTGCCCCCCACTTTTGGGTTTACATTTTTTATGACTTCCAGTTTCCATTTTTTTCTCTCATATCAAAAAGAAAGTTTCTTGAGTAAAATCCAGCCTATTTTTATACTTAATGATGTCTAGTCTATGGACACATTTAATAGCTTTGTTGTGCGTATGTCCTTCTTTTTATTTGCTCAATATTCCCAGTGAGCATATTTGATTGAGCTATTTAATGAGAAAATAAATTCATCCGGAGGAATTGTGGTTTTATGGAAGGGAAGGAATTACTTATGGTGGTTTGTGAGGAATTTTAGGGAGTTTAGGGATTGTTTGCTTTTCGATGATTCGTGATCGGAATTTAAGAGACCATTCAACTTTCTTTTTCTGCTAGTTTGACTTGAAAATCTTTACCCCTACGCAAACTCAACTTAAAAGTTTCGAATATAAGCAACAAAAAAAAAAAACCTTTGCTCCTTTGAAGCAAAATGAAATTTTAATGAATAAGGATGCGCCATACCTAGACCTACAATTTAAAGTAGAAACCAAACCACTCTTTTGACATTTCTGTCTGTAGCCTATAAAAGAAGGCTCTAAGCCTCATGACTAGGGTTACCATCTAATTTTCATGAAAATACAGGACTTTTGGTAAATTTTTTCGAAAAATACAGGACATAGAGTAAAATTCGAAAATTAACGGAAATTCTCGTGAAAAAAATACAGGACCTGGAACAAAGTTTTCAAATTTATACAGGACAGGGTTTTGAAATACAGGACTGTCCGTTGTAAAACTACGCAGATGGTCACCCTACTCATGACCAGTACAAATGATTCGAAAAAGGTCAAGTGAAAAATTTCCCATACCCAGTCTCGAACCCATGATCGCTGTGTTGGTATTGCAATAATAAGGTTTCGAAGTATTAAATCATTCCACCACCGAGCCACTTCAGCTCACTAAGTCAATAAAAGTCACATAAGCAATAGTCTGTGTTTTAATAGGCTAGTGACGAATGCTTGCCTCGCTATTCAGTTTTAGACTCTTTCTCACTTTCTTTAGAGGAGTACATTAATAAAATTAAGTCAATGCAATCGGATTTCATCCTCAAATTTAAACAATATGTCAAGCAAGTGCAGATTTATTCCCGATAAAGCCCAATCATAATTCCAATAAAATGTCTCATAAATTTCCATCATCCAAATTTCCATCCTTAAAATATTTCCATAATCATCGTTTACTTTAACTTCCATTTCAATAAATTACATTTAAAGGCTTTACTAGGTTAACCGTCGAAAGTCATAAAAAGAGCAATTTTGTATCGACGGGGACGAGCTCCAAAATAAAGGAAATGATAGTCCATAAAAAGTATGATGAAATATTATTTAATGAATATTTATGTTTGCATCTCAAATTTTTTTTTCCATCCACATTTGCCTTTCAACAATTTTTTTTTTGACATCCATAAAACAATATTTTTTCCTCCTCCTTTGTTTTTTTACAGTCTTTATACTTTATCTCCATCTCCATCCATTATTTTTGTTTTATTTTATTTTATTTTGGTATGGCAAGAAAATTTCATACAGCAATGAATATTTATATTAACGTACACGATAGTCAGTATAAATATTTTTGCAATCATACTTTATGCTTCCATGCTTCCATTCTATATCCATCTTTTATATTACAATGATTGCCTCAACATCCACATTTTATGATGTTATTTTTGCAAACAAATTTTTTGGTGATGTCTATGTGCTTGTGATTGTATTTGAGGATGTGTTTTGTGACGAATTTAAGAGTTAACTGCAAAGCTCATTATTTATTTATTTTATCATGTTTTTATTCTTGCTTATTTTTTTGTGCTGCTTTATTTTTGTAAATTGTGTTGTTGTTGAAGGAAATTGAGTTTGCAACTAGTGGGTGGAACGTTCAGTGACTCTGAGTTTGCCGGAATTTGTTAAGCTTTGTTTCAATCTTTACTATCTTTAGGCGTTCATAATGTTTTTTGCTATAATCAAGGATAGGGATGCTTCAAGGGGTGTTTAGACCTGTCATTCTAGGTTAAAACATCTTCTTCGAGTGGCTGAACTCTTTCCTTGAATAATTTCTATAAACATCCCTAGATCTCATTCAAGACTCTCTCCTTCACCCCTGTAAATACATCATAGTATGTCTGACATCTAGTTAAGTACCACATTTTGCTTAAAAATCCACAATCTCTATTTTAATCCAAATTCTTCTTAATTCTCAAAAATCCTTTGAGATTCTACACAAAATAAACCTCAAACGACAGTTACTAAAAGAACCTCATGTCTACTTCCACAAAAGAATTTCCTCATTCTTTTTGTTTTTCTGAATTTCAAAAAAAAGAATTTCCTTCCATCAAATATATCAGTGCACATCTGTACAAACATCTCTATCCACACATATATCCATGTGTCTCTATATATGTTTACATAAAATGCTGTAAAAATTTCTTCGGAGAGTTGGAGGATTTTAAATTGGCTATCAAGTTGTTGGTTTCGGTGTGCAGAAAGAGTCGTGATGAAGAGCATGGATGATGTAGCAGCATGGTATAGAAGGAGTTGTGTTTGCTCATCATTTTCCATTCTAGATGAGATTGAGAGAATTATTTATAAATTGTAGCTACTCTATCTACAAAAGCGTCATCATCTTATCGTCTGTGTTGTATTTTGGTAAGGTCTGTTGTGCCTTCCATGAGTCTGCCAAAAATCCTCAATGTTCCATGTTATTTTTCCGTTTTTGCACACATCATTGCCGCCCTGCGTCTCAACATTATAATGAATATGGAAATGTGGCTTGCCAAAAAGGAAATGGCAATGAAAAAATGTTCTTGTGAGGATATTGAATAAATATGAGCGTACAGCTAGTCTCAATAAATTAACAAAGATTATGGAATAATGAATAATTGATTGAATTAAATTTTCGGATAGTCGAGGATGGCAAGGAAATTATCATTTGTGGCACATTATCGTATTTTACATATTTTATGTAATTTTTGTTGAGGAGTGGTGATGAAGATTAAGGATAAGATTGCCTTCTTTACGTGAAAAATCATAATTATATTAAATTTAAGTCAATTTTAGCTCAAAGCTAGAAAAAATAAATTGCAAGAATTCTTAAAATAAAATAAATTGATAAAAGTTTAAGGTTCAAATCCTGCAGTAAAATATTTCACAAATTTCTATGTACTAGAGAAATTACAAGCAATTTTTTTGATGGAAAAAAACCAAAACTGTTCCTTGAATTTAAAACTTATTGAAAAACTATTCCACATCCTCTTAATCTATTTACAGGACTTATCCAAAAGTAAACGAACCACTTGATACATTTAATTTCTATTTTATAAAATCCTCTGACAATATTTTTAGAGATTCTTTTTTTAAAGAATTTAATCTCTCTTACAGTCTGTTTGTCAACATTGTGGCCAACATAAATCTACACTCAATGATATATAAAAACTGTAACTGGATTTATCTCTCGAATGTTTACATGAATTTATGCTGTTTTGTTTGTAATTGAAGCTCAAATATAACTCAAACTTTGTTGTTTTTCTATCCAACCACAAAACTGTGGGATATACTTCTATTCAATTCCAATAACTTTTTTTTCTTCTTCTGTTCATCGATGCAAATGACATCTAATTTACATTCAATCGATATGAACATGTTGAGCTCTTCCACTTGCCCAACCACTGAATAATGAAAAATAAAAAGATTTTTCTTTCCATCTCGCTTATTTGTTGGACATGAAAGGAGAAGCTCATCTGTTGTTTACTCATCCAAAATATAGACATTGTGTGTCTGTGTGAATTGACAGAGGATAGCTATATAGATATCAACGTAAAAATGAATTCAAGTGATGAGAGATGAATGTAAGGAAGAATAATAGAAGATGTGTATTTACAGCCATCATGAAGATATTGTCTGGGAATATCAGAAATGAAAGAGCGTTCTTGGAAAAAATTGCTGTGAATGAGACCATGTATTGAAAAACTTTGGATATGCAGTGAGAAATTTCATATTGTGTCATACAACTTAACTATAGAAACGGATGCTTCCTGTCAATCTCTTAGGTTCTCCTCTTTATCTAGTTAGACCAATGCTCATCATATCAACCTAATTTCAATAAATCCCTATCAAAATAAGAAGCTTAAATAAGCTCCTAGAATGTTAATTACAGCAAAAAGTACAGTTCATTAGTATGGAGATATGTTTCATCTCCAACAAATGCTTACTCGGTGCTGTAATGTTAAAAAAAAAGTAGAACAATTTCCAAGCATTCATTCATATCTCTAATCATTATGCAGTCTTCTTATTTTCATCCATTAACCGACACGAGAAACAGAAGCATCAGCAGTTGTTAAAGTCATGAAAAGCCCTTCTCTCGTTTGTTAGTTCATTACCATTCAACATTCTTATGCTGTCATACAATGTCATAATGTCTTTAATAAAGCGTCTCTTGTCGTTGTAATCTTTATTAAAGTTGCATGAGTTTTTGCTTCCTCTTGCTGTCTACTTTAAGCTGCAGAAATGAATTTTTTCTATTTTTCCGACCATTGTTTGTCCCTTGTGAATACTTTGTTGATTTTAAGGATACTATTTAGTGACATTGTAAGGTTGTATACTTGGTGATGGAGTAAAGGAATGTAATCAGATATTTATAGCATTTGAATGTGCAGCTATGGAAGCTGGAATTCATCTATTTATGCATTGATTCACATTTTATGGTTAGTTTATTCCATGATTTTTGGGCATGCTTAAAAGAATTTGCAACTTTTGACAGTTAACAACAAAACTTGTAAAAAGTTTCATAAAATTTGAGTTTAGTCGTCATGATTAGCTTTTCATGCTGGGTATTAAAAGAAAATTCAAAGGAAATCCATAGCAACTGTTGATCCCATCATTAAGGTACGATTCTAATAAATTTTTAAAATTATTTTCCTTAAAAATCTGCCAATCTGAGCACTTTGATGTGAAATGTGCGGCTTCGCAAGGAAATTCCAATAAACCTCCATCAAATCCTCGCCTCATTTGAAAAATTAAACGTCAAGAAAAAATTTTAATCAAGATAATCTTCAGACATTATTCAAGCTTCATTTTTAATCTCCAGCAATCTTCACATAACCATTAAGATTTGTTGAGGAATTGGAGCATTTTTTTCCTGCTCGAGAATTTTTTTTTTAATCTTATAAGAATTTTCATTGCATTGCACATTATCCTCACGAGTCATGACTTATAACATTATTCTTATTCTTATCTCTCCCTCAACTTTCATCATTCAATGTCGATTTGAGCATCAAGCACATATAAATACTGCCAGAAAAAAGAAATCCAGTTCATATTTTTTTCTTCAAATAAAAATAGCAAAAGTTGATGTTGTTATCATATGTGTTGTGCTGTACATAGCTTCTTATATCTATGAACTTAACTGGATAAATGATGAATGGAAGTTGCTCTACTTTTAGAAGGAAAAAGAATCTTTTGTGTGCATCACAAGTTAAAGCTAAGAAAAATTGAACAATAAACAACTTGAAAACTAGTTATTCACAATAGATTATAAGGAAGATGTAGAATCGTAAAAAATGAGCAATGAAAGAAAATAAAGAAGAACTAGCTTCAAAGATTTTCAATAGTTTTTTATTGTTGCATGTACGTGAAGATTGTTTTGATTTAAAGGAAGTGTTTGCACTCACAAGTGAATCTCATTCGAGAATAGTCTTGGATTCAAGTATTGAATACGATGAGTTTTAAAGTATTGCTGCTGCATAAAATCCTTTAATATTGGCGTTAAGAGTTGTTGAAGTATACAAATTTTTTAAGAAGTTTTAGATTTTTACAGTTTTTGGAATTTTAAGACTTTTTTTTAAAAAAATTAAATAATATTCACCTGACTGCTGTTCATGAAACCATGAGGATTTAAGTCTACAATTAGAATAAAAAAAAGTTTTAAAAATTAGTGCATCAAATTTCATATTTATGATTGTTGATCTAAACATCAGTTTTGTAATAAATAAAAATATTCCAAAGCATTAAACCCTCCAACAATTGAGAAATGTTTTTAACCTGTCTTGTTTCTCGCTTATCAAAACAACTTACAAAACTTCATACATGATGAATGAAAATCAAAAAAAGTACAAAAGACTTTGATTTTCTTTCTTTTTTTTGGCAACATTGTTGTGTACTCGACTATAAATAATTTACTACCTTTTCACTCCACTTCATCACTCTTCATCGCTTTCACACTCACATACAATATATTCTTTTTACATTACTCATTGTTGTCTCATTTAATTTCTTTACAAAGTTAACATTATTTTTTTTCTTATCTCATCAAAACTGCTCATTCAATCACGAAAATAGCAATCTAATTCAGCTAATTCAGTGCAATTCAGCTTATTCAGCGCAATTCAGCTTATTCAGCACAATTCAGCTTATTCAGCACAAATCAGATTATTCAGCACAATTAACAAAATTCAACAAAATTATTCGTGCTTACAAAATTAACTCCAATACTTTGTGAAACTTATTTCTCATAATTAGCCTCAATAACTACCCTCAACCCCAATAAACATCTCTGACTGAGAATGCTTAATCTCATCATCACACAAACATAATAAAATACCATAAAATAGTGTGGAGCAGAAAATAAGGATTAAAAACAAGCTCCTTTTCCAGGTGATCATAAAAATTAATTTTCTCACTCGTTCTTGTTCATTGAGACGATAAATCCATGTTTGTACCATTAATATAACATCAGCATACATAATCATGCAGAAAAACACGAAAAACTACCATTAGAAGAGTTCGAAAAGTCAATAAATTCATAAATTTGTTACATAAATGGTAGCAGATGTGTTTGATGGCTGAAATTTGTTGTTCTGAGATGGTTCAATGTATTATTCATTCGTTCATGAAGCCGAGCTTTACTGACTTACTTATGGACGGAGAAAAATGTTTTTATGTAATTAGAAAGAAAGGATTTTTGCATTTAATTACTTTTTTTGGCATCCAAATAAAGCTTAGATGATGATAAGGAAGAAAAGTTTTAATTGCCCACAGATCCCTTCCACAAATTTTCATTGGGAGTAATATCTAAGATTATCAAACGACCCATACATGCCGAAATTTTAATGAATATTAGGTTCTTTTCCCATTTTCTTGAGGATGCACAAGATCAAGATTGTCATTGTGACTAACTTGATGAATAAATATATCCTTTATTTATTTGAGGATGTATTTGTATGCTTATGTTATCAGATAGAAAGGATCACACAATAATAAACAATGGAGATGAAAAATTAAGCCGAAAAGGAAACATGTGCAAAGGATTAGAGCGCAATTTATTGTTAACGGTTTCAGAAAATTCAAAATATTCAACGTATTTTTGAAATTTTAATTCTCAACGATTAAAATTTTGAAACTCCATTTTGAATATTTTCTCTTACTTAAAATAAAAACAGTGAAATTAAAGCCATTAAAGCAGTTTAAGAACCTTAAATCCCTCACAAACACATCATCAGAGCAGCATAGACTCTATTATCCTATTTAAACCACATTCAACACATCATTCATTTTCTCAGTCAAAACATAAACAAAATCCCATTTCGTTCTATAGATATGCTGTACCGAATAGATCTCCTAATGTATATCTTCCCATAAAGATGACTCTTGTGTGTGTGTGTGTATGCATTGAGAAGAATGATGAGAACGGAAAATGGGCAGATTATGTTAAAAGCCCATAAATCCAAGACTATATAGTCAAAAATATAAGCGATAGATAAATAAACACACAAAAAAGATCTGAACTTTTAAAAATTAGAGTCTAAGAATTTTAAATTAATTCCAAGATATTAATGGAAGGATTTTGTTGCTGCAATTGACGTTACTGTTATTGTTTATCATGTTTATGTTTGCTTACGAAAATCTATAAAGCATGTAAAATGTTGTTTGTACATGTTTAATGAAAGGATTGGTTGAATGGAAAGTTTCAGTAACCAATGTTTAATCTACAAACCATGAAGCTTTTATGACGATGATTCCTAATTGATCTTTCAAGTAGATTTGGTTTAAGTGCTTACATGAGTCTTCATTTTATGCTTGAATGTGTGCTTTAGTTTGGGTATGTTTGTTGATTTTTGTAATTTATGTGCATCTACTTCTTTGATCGGTCAACAAACATTCTCTCATTCTTGAAGTTTTTAATCCTTTATCTTATTGCTATCATCCATTGACACACACTATCTATTGATTCTTGATCCTTTCCTGTTTCATAATCATTGCCATCATCATTTTTCCATGAATAATTTATTTTTAATGCTTCAACTTTGAATATTAAGATTGAATTTAGCAGAAACAGTTCCAGATTTAATACTTAAATCCATTCAGTCTTTTACGGCTTATCTTTATAGATTCATACATGGATTGAATAGAATCAAAATTTCATGTTTGCTATCAAATATACTTTTCAGGCTATTGAGTTGTTCATGGATGATGTCTTACCTATCTACTCGGTGTTTAAGCTCAATCGATTATTCAATAGATGTCATTCATGATCAACCCTAGCAACAGAAAATGAAATATTTTACCATCCTTGTCCATGCAAAAATTCCATTTATGGCAAACTATAAAAATATATTTTTGCGAAAAATTATCATAAAAATCAATAGTGGACTAATACTTTTCGACCTAAGGAACTCCCACAAAGAGAATTTTTGATGGGATTATTTTATGTCCATAAAGATTATTTTTATGACAAAAGGGGAATAGTAACATTAGTGGAACATCTCCATCTCTCATCAATATTCAATAGCTCATCGGTTAGTGATGATGATGATGATGACCGACTACTATCAATAGAATAAAGATATAAAGCCATTAAGTATGAAAAAAAGTATGAAATTGTTTTATGTATGATAAATGTGTGGATAGAGGCATAAGTTGATATATGTTCAATATAAAGGAGGCAAACTATGGTATTATTAAATTATTATTATGGCTATTATAATATATAGGATGTAATCTTACTCCGATCTATAAATAAATGGTTTTTGGTGCTGTGCACATATTCGCTCGATAGTATTAAGTATGTGATTATATTTATACATCTTGCCCATTCAATTAATGCTCTTGTCGTGGCTCTTTAGCTTATCCATTATATTATATTCGCTACAAGCACAAGCTGTAGTTAAAGGAAGCAAAAAAAAAATCTATTTATGGTTATTGTGCGACTTGTTATAGGTTTTTTGTCCTTGATATTAAGCATCGTATTCCCCCCTTTCACCAAACGTCCAATAATAAACCAAAGGCAAATTTATTTTTATTACCTTTTCTTCTTTTTCCATCCTTTACTTCCACATTTTAATATCCAAACACTTGCTGAGCTCTGCTCGGCTTATGGAAATCCATTCCATTGATGTCATTAATTTTATTGAGGTCACAACTACTGATGCAACTTTTTCCTTCATGCTCCTTCTGATCTTAAATAATTTCATTTTACAAAGTGCCTTACATTTATTATGATGACTTTTATATCAACATATGTGATGCATATTTTTTTATATATTTTACTTCTCTTTCTCTTCTTGCTCTTGCCTTACCAGTTGATGTATAAATTATGCTTACATTCATATTGCATGAAACCAAAAGGTTACTGGATGGTGCTTTTTTTATAGTTTTCAATAAAGACTGCATGATGTAAATGGAAGGATCTTGATTTATATTCAATCTACGTTTTTTATTCGAGATGGAAATGGAAATGGAAATTTTAAAGAAGTTTTTTGAAAATGAAGTTTATAAAGATTGATCTGCTTTAGAATTTTAAATGACGATTAGATTGCTTATCCTACTTATGTGAAGTGTGTCCCCGGGTCAGCTCCTACAGCTTACTGGAGCACCCTACCCTAGAATTAAGTATAGCTTGACTAGGGTTGGATTTTTCGTGAATTGTGGAACGATAGAAATGTTCAACAGCATAAAGGAGATATTAGAAGTAATTATTATTATTTATTTGTCGACGTTACCATCCGGAAGAATTAGTATTTATACACGTTTTACTTTTTACATTGATTAGTGATACATTTCATATCACTATGGGTGACGTAGAATCAAGCTTCTAATCTTCAAATCTAGGTTTCGATTAAATTCAGGCTCTCGTTTCAATCTTCTGTGGGCGTGACGTGATACTTTTCAGGTCCGTTCTAACAATATTCCATTCGTGGGTAATCTTGTAGCTCTCGTTCCTATTTCTCCCGCTACACTTCAAGTTCCTGACCCGTTCCTTAATCCAAAGTTACCCAAAATGCCCAATTATGGCTTGATCTCGTACATTAAGCAGTCGAAGTATCTAAATTTCTGAAAAAGAACAAATTTGGAAATGGCTGGATTGGAACCGACGACTTTCGAGTTACCATTACCAAATTTGAGCCTATACCATTACCTATTCGACCAGCAAGGCACTTAACTGCGTAAAATTCTCATCTTCTCTTTTAAACTGAGCATTTCAAGTCTGTTTACCAACATCTAATTCACAGAACATGAACACAATCAGAAAATTTATAAAGCACTTCATGTTGCATGGCAAAAAAAAGAAGATAATTTGAAGCAGCAAAAACATTTCAAATGAAAAGCTTGAATCATCTTTCTCTCTTATTATTTTTTACGTCTGTTACATATTGTTAAATAACATTAACTGCTTTGAAGCTGTTGATTCATAAAGAGTTGAGAGCTTTCGTATTTGCTGCTATGTTGTATGTAACATCTTTTTACTTTAGTACTTGAAATATTCTTAATGCTTTTTAATTACGAATGGGAGCAAAAACAAAAGAAGTTGAAAATTAAAACAGAAATGTAGTTGCTGTAGAAATCGAGATTTCGCAGCTTCCATTAAAAAACATTTAGGATTTTTTTTTCTTTTCAACAAGCTTACATGTAAAGTGAGTGCACTTGAGCTGCTTTTTATGATTAAAGTGTATTTAAAAGTATAAAAGGTTGGTTGTAAAGAGAATTTTTGTTACACTTCTGAGGACTCCTTTGAGACTTGATTTTATTATGGAATTACTGAGTTTATTTGTTTAAATGAATAAGGGGTTAGAAGGTCCTTGCTGTAATTGTGATTTTTTGTGGATGGTTGTTAATTAAATTGTATTTTTTAGTGCTCATAAATGAAGAGGTTGTTCACTTATGACGTCCGTATTTAAGGGTCAACAAGAACAATAGATTTCTAGGAATTTCTATTGTTTTCTTCTTGCTGACCTCCCATCATCCCCCCTGGACGTCATAAGTGAACGGCCCCTTTGCTGCCTTGATTTACGACATAATATTTATGGATATTCTCTCCATCGAAAGGAGAGGACAGGACAACAACTGTCAAAAAATAAACTGAACTACCAGCTTTTTCAGACACACAAATTGAATTGAATTAAAACATTTCAGTTCATGATATAGAACTTACAACCACACTTGAATAAGCACCACTTCAACTTATATCAAATATCCAATTCACAACAAAAACAACCAATTCAAAATAGTTTCAAGCATTTTTCAAAATTCAGCATTATCCTCTAGTGCTGTAGTAATTAAACAGCATTTATACTCATTATAAAGTTTTCAACTACCTTCCTACCTTGCAGCACTTTCCATTAAACGAATCTCATGTTTATACAACAAATTTTTCACTTACTTTCTCCCTCTGTTGTTTCTAGTCGTAATTTATTTGCTGGCAAGTGGAGAAGAATATGAAAATTACAGAAAATAAAATTAAAACATCTCTCATTGCGCATAAAAATGGCAAACAACATTTCATTTATATTAAGCATGTACATCGTGAAACATCAAAGAGGAAATGTAATGATGCTGCCATTAATTTTGAAAAAACAAAAATTTTTGCTCATTTTAATTTAATTTTAATTTTAACTGAAATGTTGAAAAACAAAAAACTTTCTCTTTGACTTGTTGGGTTGATGTGGGGAGCTGGTAATGGATGTTTTTGTAAGGATTTTTGTCATGAATTTTAAAAATGATTTCTAGAATTGAGAGTTGATGATTGGACAGCTGGTACTTTTAAATCCAATGACTTGAATATTTAATCTTTTTTTAATAAGGAACCTAAAATGCCTATACATAGTATCTAATGCAGTGGTTCTTAAACTGTGAATCGCGACACGCATGTGTGCCGTAAAATAATTCAAGTTTTACTTTCTGAAGGAGAAAAATGTACCGTAAACCAAATAAGCTTGAGAAACACTGTCCTGATTAGTTTTGTATGCACTTTTTAACATCAAGGACATCCTGTGAAGAGTAGATTTAGTCAATTGAGACAATGGGATGAGATTCGAGAGAATTCTTCACCAAAAACGAGAACAACCAATTTAGAGTCCCCCTGAACCTCTATAGGTTACGTCATTAAATCCCAAAAGATGTCAAAACTTCTCAGAAAGAGAAGAAGAACCTCAAAAAAATCATCAAGCTGAAATCTCATTAAAAATCATTAAAAATTCCGAACAATACAACAAAAATATTTCATTAAATTCTCATGACTCTATTTATACCAAATTCTCGACAACAATAGCAACCGAAAGTAATGAGCATGTACACAAAAAAACTTAATTAAGAACACAAAAGGCTAAATAAAAAGCTCATTTCCTTCATTCACAAAAGAAATAAACGACAAATTTATGTGCGTATGCGACAGCACAAAAATCATTTTCCGAGCAATTGAAAAATTATTCAATGGAACAGCGAAAACTTTTGTTCCTACTCATACCACGTTCCTCTATTAGCAAAAAAAGCCTGAAAATTAATTTTTGCTAGTTTTTGTGTTTGGCTGTCAAATTGAAATAAAGGCAACAGCCAGCAATATGAAACAACGGGTGGAAATATTAATGGTGGAAATATTGAAGCAGTTGATATAAAAGCAGGCCAAACAATTGAAAAATTGGCACACTTTGTAGATATCCATACATACAGTCAGTTGAATATAAAAAAAAAGTTTTATTTACAATTCAGTGGAACTTTTTTCATTCATCCCTTCCTCTTACTCTTGCTTCCATTCGTTTGAACAAAATACTGTTAAATCTACAAACATAAAATATGAACATACATTTAGCACTAAATCATCTGCATAAGAAGGAAGTAAAAAGCTTTTTGGAATTTATGCATCGTGCTGTAAAATTGTAAGAGCATAAAGAGAATTTTTAAGAGTGGAGGAATGAGAAGACTCGACACGTGTAATGTTAATGCTAATTGAAAATTCTGGGTCTTAAGATTATGGCATGAAATTACTTTGGGCATTAAAACTGAAATGATATTTTGTCAACCTTGAAATTTGAATTGCTTACAAAATGGAAATGGATATTAAATTTCTGAAAATTCAGCTGGAGTGTGCCTTGAAATTATATTATTTTTCAAAAAGGTCGAGTGTAAGAATGTCTTTGGAAGAATATCAAGTTGAGCGGTTGAGGAACAAGTAAAATAACATGAAAACAGAATAGATGAACAGAAAAAAGCATCTAGGTCTGTCAAAAACGGGGAAGGTGAGGCACCTTATACTGTCATTCCTAGAGCTTAGTGACTAGGGGTATGGGCTATGCCAAGGGCTATATACATAAGGATTCACTAGCTTAGATACAAACTTTACATAATTTTCTGTTACTAAACTTAAAATGATGTTCAATGACTCTCAAAACTACTTCCTTGCCCTTGGCTGCAGTAAAAGAAAATACAATTCACATCGCGAAAAAGTAATGTTCTGTACTTTATAGCATAGCACTATGTTATCCAGAAAAGTTCTTCCAGAAAGCATTTTCCCCTCAAAAACGCTTATCGAAGATCGTCCATAAATCATAACTGATTTTTTACTCCTTTTTATTCAACATTACACTTCCATTTGTTCTCATCTTTATGCACATAAGTCAAGCAGCTTCTCGCCACAACATGAATAAATAAGGCATCAGAAGAGAATATTTCTTTTCAATATGCATGCATGAATTTTTCATGATCCACTCATGTGCATCAACTTAATGATTTATCCAATATAATCCAATAATCATTATTGCCGTCCTCACTAGCTTGCGGCATCAAAAGAAATAAAAATATTATTGCTGTGCATGAATGTAGGCAACATGTAGCACATAAAAATCTCTAGTTTTTTTCGTTCATGTGTCCTCGCTGTGACTTTCATTTGATCTGGGCAACGTAATATGAGCAACAACTAATCAAAATAGTCTGTCAATTATCTTCATGATAAGCAGACACTCGTCCATATATTTTTTTCAAATTATTTAGATTCTTATCAATTAATGTAGTGCAAGTTGTTAAAAGTAATTCAATTAATCGATTGGCAGTGACAATTAGCAGCAAGAAGTTTTCAAAAATTATCTCAAAATTTGGGTAAACAACAAGTTGTTGTTAATTTCTGTTTCGTAATAATAAGTGTGACCACACACGAGAATCATGAGCAGTGATAAGAAAGTTCGAAGATTTTTTACGCAAGCATGTATGCAAACAGCGGCTGGTGGAAGTGCAGGTAAATAATGAAAATTATTGTCGTAAATATTTACAATCAACGATGTAAATGTTGTTTCAAGGCTTCGTGGAAGTATGCATCATGCATCCACTGGATTTAATTAAAACACGCTTGCAAATCCAAACTACACCGGCTATGGCTGGAAGTAATGTAAGTTATATAATCCAATGTAAATATAAGGCTGTCATGTCATTGTTCTATGATTTATTGTAGTCATGATGACTTTTTTACATCCATAGGCATACTACAATGGAGTTTTTGATTGTGCTCGAAAAATGGTTCAAAGCGAGGGATTGTTTAGCGTTTACAAAGGCATTTTGCCACCCATTCTTGCCGAGACACCAAAAAGAGCAGCTAAATTTTTGACATTCGAACAAACAAAGTCATTGTTTCTATTTGGAAGTGATAAGCCAACACCATTAACATTTTCATGTGCTGGATTGGCAGCAGGAGTATTTGAAGCCATTCTCGTCAATCCTTTTGAGATGGTAAAGGTAACATTGCAGGCAAATCGAAGCAAAACTGGCGAATTGCCAAGTACAATAGCAGTTGCGAAGCAAATTATTGCCAAGGATGGATTTGGCTTGCGAGGACTTAATCGTGGTCTAACGGCAACGATCGGTAGAAATGGTGTTTTTAACATGATTTATTTCGGCTTTTATCATTCTGTTAAAAATATTATTCCTGAATATAAAGACAATCCTGTTAAAGAATTCTTCCGTAAAGTTGCCATTGGCTTCACATCTGGTACATTAGGTTCGGTCATCAATATACCATTTGATGTTGCAAAATCGCGTATTCAAGGACCACAACCACAGCCAGGTGTCGTTAAATATAAATCAACATTCCAAGCCATTCAACTCGTTTATCGCGAGGAAGGATTTAAAGCTTTATATAAGGGATTAACACCTAAAGTTATGCGATTAGCTCCAGGTGGTGCTATCATGATGATCGTATATGAGTATGTCTATGAAGCTCTGGACAATTACATTTAAATTATTGTCTCATTTTGTGTGTTCATTTGAAATGTTTTTATGAAAAATATTTTTGGAAGTGAATTTTTGAATCTGAAAAAATTTCTAGCTCAAATTTTAGGATGAAAATTTTTGAAATTTTCTAACATAGAACATAAAAGTACATAGATTGTAAGTTTGATTGCTTTTAACCGATTAACTGCATTTACAATTATTCTGACTGTTTGCAATAGACTTAATTAATTATTCATATACACAAACACACATTTTTATGCATTTTTTAATATTGAACCTCATTCGGGTAAAGGTCAGCATTACATAAACAAGAGTTTTTATAATAGAGTGTAGTTGATGCTTCAACATCAAGTTGTTGAGAATTATTTTTTTTATGAAATATTCTAAAGCCATAGCATTTATCCGTCTTTGAAAAGTTTTTTGTGATTTTTATATATTTTTTATAAGCCATCAAATATTGAGTAGCTTAATGTTTGAATTGAGCTGAATTTATTATTATTAATTAGATGTTTTAGCACCTAGAACTGCGAACAAAACTAGCTCAAATCATTACAAAAATTTAACTCAATTAGTTGATTTGTGCTGAGGTATATTTCAGTGCTGCAACTTACATTAATATCCACATTCAAAAACCATTTCTAGCTGATTTTGTGCCAATTTTGAGCTACTCAAATGTTGATGGCTTAACCAAGTCATACTCAGTTTGATTACGCATAATTTAATGTTTTAAAATTGTCTATTTTTGTATTGAAAAATTTAAAATAAATTTCGACCCATTCTTTAAGTGCTCATCAATAGGACTTGAATCTTAAAGACATTTTTTGATAAAAAAAATAGCGATTTAATGGAAAAATTTATTTTTGTTACAAATTTCATATTTTATATTAAATATAATTTATTTTTGTATGATCAATAAAATAGAGTTTTTGGATGCAAGTTTTGAAAAAATTATGTTTTTTCTGAATTACTAAAATTCTTTATTTTTGGGACCTTAAAGGTAAACTGTTGCAAACATACCTCAAAAATGTGATTCCTATTCTTACTAAAACATTGTTGTCCAAATTTTTTTCAACCATGGAACATCATTGGTTCTGTCCTTCAGTCTATTTTATCTAGTTTAAAATTAATATTTTACCATGACAAACCTAAGGATATCCTACGGCACACAGCTTGGACAACACTGGACTAAAGCAACAAAACTCACCAAAAAAAAAAGTTGAAACAATAAAAACCTTTCTTTAATTAAATTGATCTTATAATATTCACACAGAACTTCTCCATCTGCATTTCAGCAACGTACTTGAACAAAAAAATTAATAACCATAAGAGTCGACAACATTTTAAATGCTTTATGAAAAAGAAATTATTTTTTCAGCTCGCCAAACGTGACTGAGAAAATTTCACGCCATAAGAAAATGGAATAAAATAAGAAGAAAATTTTAAATGAGCGTAATAATTAAGTATTAAGTTAAACATGCTATTTGAAATCTTTGCGACATAATTTTCTTACTCGAGTTTAGTGACTTATAAGCTGAACAGCTTAAGAACTACAGTTTTTAAATGAAACAAAATTTTATGGTCATCAAACTATTTATTATGCTGCTTTTTATATCTTTGATGATTAACCAATTCTTCCAGTGTATGGAGGAATTGGGAATTCCCATCTCTTTGGATTTCTATCGCTAAAATCTTCTAAAGCTGCTCTTACATTCATTATAAACATCTGTGCAGCCTGGTTGATAGCTTTTTCAAATTGTGTCTTTTTTGAAAAATTTTCATTCATTCGATGAGGTGGAAGAGATGCTCCTACAGCAATTACAACCATTAAGAAGAGTATTAAAACTTTCATGATTTTTTTGTACCTTCTGAATATGACTTATGAACGCAAAAACTACAAATGAAGTTTTTCAAAGATTTTTCTTTGTTTTATAGGAAAATCTAATATATTTTTGATTGATGTGTTAAATTTGAAAAGTAAAGCAATATGTCCAGTGTTAATAATTGAAATTAATAATTTACGGAACTAAAATTTATTTTTCTCTTCAGTTTTTAAAAAAGTTTAATTTTAAACCTAAATGCTCTAAAAGGCAGTCATCATGCCAAATCAATATAAAAACAATTCTTATGTATGTAATAAAGCATGTGAAGGAGATGAAAAAATATCCAGATTTTGATAGACATCAAATCTAATCCCAAACTCTATGAAAAAAAAAATTTTTTTTAAAACTTAAAGAAGAAAATTTAAGATTTAAATGAATATATTTTATTTTCAATTCCATTTGATCCTGTTTAAATATTTTTCAAATAATTTGTTAAAATACTCTTGATCTTTTCCTTCAACATTGCAGCATCATCTTCATGAAAAGCACTTCTTGAAATCATTGATGCTTCACCTTGCACAAATCCTGAAAAAGCATCCGTAATTTCAGCAATAATTTTGTCTATTATTGATTGAATATCAAATTGACTCCTATTCATTCCAGACTGTTCATCAGCCATATAATCTGAAAAATAGTTTTGACCACATACAGTTGTAATGATCATCACTCCAAACAAGAATAAAGTCTTCATAATTATGATTTTTAATTTGATTCTTCAAGAAAATTTGAAATGGAACTAAAATTATCAGTCAACATTCATTCTATTTATATAGAGTAATTTAAAATTTAATTGATTGATGTTTCTTAATTAAAGTAATTCCAAAATGTCACAAAAAATAATTTATTTGACATAACCTTCAATTTTGTTTATAAAATTCAATCTTAATTGATGGAATAACATCTTCAAGGATTTCAGAAAACTGTTTTGACATAATATCGAAAAACTCCATAATGTCCTTTCCATTGACAATTATTTTTACTACTCTTAAATCATAATCTTCAACCAGCTTTGACATTCCTAATTCTATTTCAGTGATGAAGTTTTTTGAAGCTTTGTCAAGTATTCGACGGAACATTGTTTGTAGTTTCATTTCAAATTGTTCAGCTGCTTTATAATCAGAATAATAATCTACAATGTCAGACATTGGTCCATCATTAAAACTTTGACTGCTGATATCATTTTGAAATTCATCGTAAAATTTATAACCAGATGTAAAGGCAAGAAACACAACAAATAGAGAGAAGAAGGCTCTCATGATTTTTTAAGGATTGATACAAAGTTTCTCAAGTAAGTGCAAATTGTAACTGAAGTTTAATAGTTATGTCGACTACTTTTATATGAACAAATATGAAAACTAATTGATTACTTTAGGTATTAATAGTAAAGCAGTACTGACTTTTATTTAAAGATTTCTTTTATTGATCCATATTTCCTTTAAAAATTCAATATTTGTTTAATTTCAATTAATTTTTCCGTTTCTAACCCCTGAAACTACCAGATTTGTCATTCTGGTTCAAATTTGAATTCCAATCGTTTTGGTTCCAATTTTGGTTGTTGTTTTGAGTATAATCATTCTGATTTTGGGTGTAGCCACGATTCCAGTTGTTGTTCTGATTCCAATCATTTTGGTTATTTGTATAGCCTCGATTCCAGTTGTTGTTATTGTTTTGATGCCAGTCATTTTGATTAAATTGATTTGGAGTTTTGCGGTGTGGTTGACTGGCTGATTGAACAGCTGTGAAAACAGCAAGAACTGAGATTAAGAGTAAGCAAACTTTCATGATTGGAACTTCTTTACTAATTCCCTTAAAGATGAAAACAATGACTTTATACTAAAATATTAAGAAAACTTGATTGACTTTTACAAGCTATGCTTCAATTGAAATTAATTGATTTAATAAGGTTGAATATATTTTAAAAATAATAATTATTATTTAATGGACCAAAAATGCCTAATTTCTTGATCTTTAACTGAAGCAAATTTTTGACTAAAAAGTGTGTCAAGCAGAAAATTTTGGATAAAATGATTTAAATTAATGTGATAAAATGTGCTTTATTTGGATTAATTTTTACAATATTTCAATTTTCCAGGATGACAAAAATAGTTTATTTAACGTCCACTTGGTCTAAATATTTTGTCATTTTGGTTCATATTGTTGTTGTTGTTCCAATCGTTTTGGTTTTGATTTTGGTTATTGGTATATCCAATTCGGTTCCAATTTTGGTTGTTATTTTGGGTATAATCATTCTGGTTCTGATTTTGATTCTGGGTATAAACTCGGTTCCAGTTGTTGTTTTGGTTGTTGGTATAATCGTTTTGATTTTGGTTGTTGGTATAACCTCGGTTCCAATTTTGGTTGTTGTTTTGGGTATAATCATTTTGGTTTTGGTTGTTGGTATATCCTCGGTTCCAGTTATTATTTTGATTTTGGGTATAATCGTTTTGGTTTTGATTCTGGTTATTAGTGTATGCTCGGTTCCAGTTATTGTTCTGATTCTGATTCCAGTCGTTTTGATTTTGGTTGTTAGTATATCCTCGGTTTATATTATTGTTGTTATTGATTGGGATAAGTTGATTAAAATTCTTTCGATTTTGTGGGATTGCTTGAACAACAATAAGAACAGCTTGAACTGCGAATAAGAGTAAAATAAACTTCATGACTGTAACTTTTTACTAAATCTTTTGAGGATGAAAGAATTACTGATGAAAATCTCATGGAAAACAATGACTTTATACTAAAATATAAAATTTGATTGACTGCAAATATAAGTATGCTTGAAAAATAGCTAATTGACTTGACAAGTGAAGGCTATAAAGCTTATAGTTTTGGATATGATTATAAATAATGTATTTGTGGTATTATTAAATGAATAACATCAAAAATGACGAATATTATTATTGGTCCTGTCAAGACTAGATAAACAATTTTGCAATTAAAGTAAAAATCCATGACTTGAGCTTTTAAAACAATTTAAAAAATCATTATAGCAGCTTTAGGCTCATATTTGGTCCACAATAAAAAAGGAAAATATTGGCCAAAAAATATATCAATTCAGAATTTCTTAGAAATAAACGGAAATATATTATTAAAATATCATAAAATGTGCTTTATTCAGTTTTAAAATTTTCATCTTGTTACAAAAAATTTAAAGTTTTTAATAGTAAAGGTCAGTAAATTGTATTCATAATTCCATCAAATTAAGCCCAAATTACATTTGACGCCGTTCAATACCCAAATCTCTATCACTTTGAGCTAAAAGATTCTTTGCTAAAAGTCGTCTAGCTAAACCGAGCTCCAAATCATTTTGGTTTACTTCAAGTCCCATGCTTCTACGAGCTAAACTTTGACTCAAATCCTTTTCACTTAGAACTAAAAGATGTTTTGCTAAAAGTCTTCTGGTTAATCCATGTTCTAAATCACTTTGACTTATTCCTTGTCCCATTCTTCGACGAGCTAAAAGTGGAGTGATATCATGTTGA